CCAGCTTCACCAAGCAGAAAGGTGCTACAGGGAAGAACACTGCTACAGGGAAGTACTGCAGAAATAACACAGAAATCCTCTCAAGTGTGTCATTATTGACAGCAATACACCTGAATACACCTGCAGGGAATGTGATTAGTGTGTGGGCAGGAATGGGAGCCAGCTGCTTGTTGCAGGAGCCACGGGCCTCGTGCCCTTCTGCCTCCCAGCACTTTCGCAACTGCAGCATAATGCCAGATTGTTTTTTCCTTCCCCTTCTTTCTTTTCCTCTTTCTTTCCCCCCTCGCTATACAATCAGCAATTTACGAGTTCAAACTTCAGCAGCAGAAGAACTTTCCCCCCCCATCTCTTCCATGCCTCTTCTCTGTAGGTCACTTCTGTCTTTCCACACAGAGCACGTGCCATGAACTCCACTCCTCAGCACTCATCTTCCGTTGCATCCTCTCTTTTTTTTTCTTGTTTCTTTATTTTTACACTACATTTTTCTCTTTAATTATTCTCTCCCTGGAATTCTCACTGATCCTGCACTAAAATCCCAACTCAGATGCGCGCCAAGTCTGAGTTTCAACCAGGCAGTCTCCAATGACAGACTCATGGTCTGATCGTCTCCTATTTTGCAGTTATGCAAGGTTTGGTTGAATTTAGCTCTGGAGAGTCCTAGTTCTGGAGCTAAACTTCTCATCAGCATTTCACAACTCAGAAAGAGGGAAATGAAGATCATTAAGGGACTGGAAGAATATTCTACTCATAAATCCAAGCTGGTAGACAGTGTGTGGGGTTCTTTCTCTCGTGTCTCTGCTCAGATAAGGATTAGCCAACTAGCATTGAAACCCATCCTGGTTTTAGGCTTTTTAAATGATGCTCACGTCTCATTTCAATGACAGCAGTTTCATTCTCCCAGGTTTAAGCTGGGATTGAACAAGTCTTGACTAAATATAGAGGTTTGTAATTTTTAGATCACCATCACAGTACTTACAAAAATTAATTCAGCAGTGATTTTTCTCTCACCTGTACCTGGCAAAGCAGCAGCCACCGGTAAGGTAGGTTCTGCAGTGGTTTGGGTCCAGTGCTGTTGAGCAGATGGCATTTATTGACAAACCTGCTGCTAAACTGTTTGCATTCCTGGGGCTGTAGGTGCAGCCAGCCCAAAGCACACTCACTACTCATTACTAAAATACTCATTTCCCTGGAAAACCATCTGTGTCATTCAGTCATGACAGAACCCAGAAACATCCCATTCCCTCCACCAGCTCCCCAGCACTATTTATATGCATCCATGCCAGCACTGTGTTTCCTGTCTCCTTTCTGAAGCCTTCATCACTCGCCCTACAGTAAACACAGGACAGCGAGACAACTGAGACGTAAATTGTATTTACCATTTCCAAGTTTTTATCCTTACAAATACGAACTAAAGTCCATAGGTGCAAGAGAGTGGCAAAGAGCAAGACTTGCTGGTGGAGCAACCTAAATGACATTGTATAATGTACTGCTTTCATATGAAAGGGGGGAAGGTGAGAAAGAGGTGGGCAAGGAGTATTATGAAGAGGTACCAATGTGGTGTGAACACAAGCACAGCCAGCTACCTGGTGTAAGATGTGCTGTCACTCTGGCTGTGGTCTGACAGAGCCACAGAGGCAGTGACCAGTGGACAGGTCTTGCATGGCTCCTGAAGAAAGATGTGAAACCTCAGCTCAACCTCAGCCCTAAAAACATCAACACTTCCTTGTCTCCTCAGGACCAACGACTTGTTTAGCTCTGGGGAGCTGAGAGGTGGGTAAGGTATCACTGCATCCCTCCCTAGGAGCTATTTACGTACACCTCAATTAAATTTCTATGCAACAATTTGCTTAGCTAATTGTTCATCTTTCATGGTGTCATGGCACAATCCCTCCATAAAGACATCCTTAATTGAGGATGATGAATGCACCTTGCCACTCCACCCTAAGGGGTGGTAGCTTTTACTTCTTTGTCCTTATCTGATTAAAAAGGTGTAGAATTTCACCCAGACACACTCTTACTAACAAAACAAAGTTCCTCATTGCATCAGAAATGTAGATGTGTCTCTTAAGGTGGGTAGATGATGGCCCAAATTGGTTTGTCACTGATTTCCTCCTCTATACTGACAAGAACTCCTTTTCCTTCACTAGTGGATTCATCAGGCGTCAGATGTCTCAATAGTCTCATACCTGCATAAGTCTTGAAAATGCAGACACAGAATCATAGAATCAATTAGGTTGGAAGAAACCTTTAAGATCATAATAGTCATAACCCTTAACCCAACACTGGCAAGTCCAACACGACAATACCACATTGACATTATATATGACCACAGAGGTTGCCTAAACAGGGGAATCTTCTTAATGATCTTCAGTGCTGTTCTGAACAAGGACCTGAGCAGCCCACTCCCCCCTCAAGACTAGCCCTGCTTTGAAGTCCAGCTGTATCGGGTGACCTCCAAAGGTCCAGCCCGAAATACATTTTCATATGCTTCTGTGTCCATAGAAATGCACCTATGGTATGTTTTATGATTTGGAATAATTCTTTCAAGTATTCCATCATGGCATAATTTGTTGTATGGAATAGGAACTACACAGGCACTCTGTAATTAACAAATTAAACCTAAAGAAGGCATACTTATAAAGCACGCCGAGGAGATGGCCTGAACACCAATGAAAAACTGACTTGTGTTTCTGACTGATCAGCTCTCAGACTGTGCTCAGTTTGTTGTGCTGGGCAGACATCAGCGCTGAAGGGTGTGATGTGCAGCATCCACGCTGGATGCAACCTGGAGCAAGCCAATGCACTGACTGAAGAGGGACATTAGAACTCATATTTGGGCCTGACTAGCATATAGAGTAAAGACAGAGCCACAGCAATGGGAAACACTCAACTCTGAGACTTTTATGTGAAATTTAGGCTTTCTGAAACAGAATAAAATAAGAGAGTCCCTGCAGGGGGTGGAGGTAACACAGAATAGCTGCTGTGCTTCAGCTCACACCCTCATGTATTACGAAATAGCTTCTCTGTTTAGACAAGCCCCAAGAGATGTAGACATTTATAATGCGTATTTAATCTTTTCATCTGTTTTTTTTTTCTTGCTGTTTTGATGTTTCCTCAGGTTTTGAAGATTCAAGATTTTTTTTCCCCCAGAAACTACAAGTCTTAAGGCAAAAATAAAGGCAGCTAGAAATTGCCTGCTGCCAGTCAGACTGAAGAGTTTGTAACTTCTTCCAGCACAGGAAATGTTCAGTGTTTTAATAGCAGTGACCATGTTGTAATGTATTTATGCCCTTAGGGTTGTAGAAATCCTTCATTCACAGCATTACCCACCCCAAATCATAGGACTGCTAATATCTGTAGTGTCATCATGCTTTTCAACAGTATTGGGAGATAGACAGCTCCACTTGAGAGCCATCCCTGCGTGCCTTCCTTGTTCCGTTTAAACCTGTATTGGGTCTGTCAGGGATGGTGTTAAGTTTTACCCCCAGCAGCCCCCATAGAGCTGTGCTCTATGTTGGCAGCTAGAAGGGTGCTGATAACACACCAGTGTTTTGGCTACTGCTGAGCAATGTTCCACCAAGGCTGCCTCTCCAACATTACACCAGGAGGTTGGGGGGGGGGGGGGGGAGGCAAGATCTTAGGAGGGGGCAGAGCCAGGACCACTTGGCACAGCTGACCAAGGGGTATTCCAGACCGTGTGCTGTTTGCTGAGAGGAAAGAGGAGGGGAGGCCACTCTTTATTGCATTTGTCTTTGGAGCAGGTTCAGTGTCATCAGCAGCACACGCAACAGGCTCAGCAAGGGAGGCCAGGCTCTTTCCTTTTACTGATGCTGCTTCTGCGGATGAAGCCTGCAAGAGGAAAGTTTTCCAAGGAGCTTTCATTCCGTCTCTGCAACCTGCAAGATGGAGAGTTTTCCTATAGCGTGCAGCAATACTGCGAGGCCCTTCTGAACCTCTGCCCCCCTGCAGACACCAATGTCACTGCTCCGTGAGAAAACCCATCCCATCAAACCTGACAGTGAGCCCTGTTAGATCAAGCTATGACAGGCTGAGAGAGCTGGGCTTCTTCAGCTGGAGAAGAGAAGGCTCTGGGGGAGACCTTAGAGCAACTGCAGTGCCTAAAGGGGCCAATGAGAAAGCTGGAGAGAGGCTTTGGACAAGGGCCTGTAGGGACAGGGCAAGAGGAGCCTGACAGAGGAGGCTGAGATGAGCCATTAGGATGAAGGTTGCCATTAGGTTGAAGGTTGCCCATAGGATGAAGGTTGCCATTAGGATGAAGGTTGTCCATAGGATGAAGGTTGTCCATAGGATGAAGGTTGCCATTAGGATGAAGGTTGTCCATAGGATGAAGGTTGTCCATAGGATGAAGGCTGTCCATAGGATGAAGGTTGCCATTAGGATGAAGGCTGTCCATAGGATGAAGGTTGCCATTAGGATGAAGGCTGTCCATAGGATGAAGGTTGCCATTAGGATGAAGGCTGTCCATAGGATGAAGGTTGCCATTAGGATGAAGGCTGTCCATAGGATGAAGGTTGCCATTAGGATGAAGGCTGTCCATAGGATGAAGGTTACCATAGGATGAAGGCTGTCCATAGAAGCCCATCCCTGGCACTGCCCAGGTCGGACGGGGATCGGAACGTCTTGGTCCAGCCAGCAGCTCCCGCCCCGCCAAACGCCCTCTGACGTCACCCGTGACGGAGGAGCCCCACGGGCACGCGGCCGCACCGCGCCGTTTCCCGGCCCGCGGGGCGGGGGTGAGGGGGCAGCGGCAGCAGCGGGGCGGGCACGCGGGGCGGCGCGTGGGGCGGGCGCGCCGGTCACCTGACGCCGCCGCCGCCACCGCGGCCGCCGCCATTTTGTCTGGTAGTGTGAATGTGAAAGGGAAAGCCGGGGCGCAGCCCGCGGGACGAGCAGGGCCGGGCCGGCGGCGGGAGTAAGGAGCGCCGCTGCGTCGGGGAGGCAGTGCGGGCTCTGCGGGTAGGGCCCTCGTTAGCCGTCAGCGGCGGGTGAGAGGAGCCAGTGAGGCGGAGCCCGGCCAGGACTCCCCGGTCGCCGGCCTCACATCTGAGGGAGCTGCCGGTTCCCGTCCCCCGGGCGGCTGCGCTCGCCTCTCCTCTCCCCGGCTGCGGGGGAGCCGCTGTCCCGGCCTTGCTGCCCGCCGCGGCGGGTCCGCGCCAATGATGTCGGGGCAGTCGATCACGGACCGCATCACGGCGGCGCAGCACAGTGTCACCGGCTCGGCCGTGGCCAAAGCTGTCTGCAAGGCGACGACCCACGAGGTGATGGGCCCCAAGAAGAAGCACCTGGACTGTAAGTAGGACCCTGCGGTCGCCGCCTGCGGCCTGGGCCGGGGAGGCCTGGCCGGGCCCGCGGCTCGCCAGGCGGGAGCCGCTTGGAGCCCCGAGGCAGCCGGTGTGGCCCCTCCTGCTTGCAGCAGGGAGGAGGGAATGTGGCGTAAGGCCGGGTGAACCTGGCTGGTTTGCTCTTCAGAACTTGCTTTACACGTGGAGGGAGCGAGCTTTGTAATGCCAGGGAACGAAATTAGTGCAACCTTGTGAACTCTTCCCGGTGAGAGCTTCTTAGCCTGGGTGCTCTAGGTTTATTAATCCGGCACCGGGGCAAAAAGTGGGTTAAGTTGTGTGGGTTTACTGTTGTGAGCGAGAAGTTAAATTTTTAAGCACTCTTGTGTCGTTCTGTGCATGAGGCGGACTGCAGAATGCAATGTTTCCCTGAATACCGTAGCTTTATATCTTACGGCTCTTGAAACGAGGTAAAAAGTGAGGTAAAGGGGAGGGTAAAGGTGGGCCAATGCACCTTTCCAGAATGAGAGTACGTTGTCACTGTTCTATTTAAACTTAATGCGTTAAAACATCTTTCTGCGTACCAAAAGAGGCAGAAAGCTGGTAACTAGAACCCGTGATAACTAGAAAAGTATCGGTGGTGTTGCTTTGTTTCACGTTTTAGTAACAGGATAGCAATAGAAGTTACTGTTTAACCGCTCAAAAGTGCAGCCAGTGCTCCAAACCTTCCGCGTTGTGCGGTACTATTAGAAGTAAGTGCGTGTGTGTGTTTCCACTGGTGAGAGGAAAGAAGATACGAACCTTTATACTGGGTTCTTCAAAATCAGTGGAGCAGGCTGGTAGTTTTGCAGGACTTGCACAAATTGGTGGTGCTAAGGGGACTCTGCTGTTCCAGCCTTTGGAAGATGTATAATCAGTTGTATGGTTTGAGGGTAGTTTGGTGCTCTGACACTGTGACATTCTTCTGTTAAGACAGACTTGTTGTGTGAGAGTTTTTGTTGTGTATCAAATAGTTAAACACAAACAAATATGTGTCTCATTTGGTTTTGATCTGAATGAGTAAAATCTGGCTACAGCAGTGACTATTGCAGCTGCTGCGTTGAAATTAAAAGCCTTAAATCTGGGTAACTGTCAATTTATTTTTTTAAAGACGCCTTTTTGAAGTTACCTTACTTTATCTCGCCTTGTGTTCTGCCTGTGGTAGAGTAACTGCAGGAGGTAAGCCTTGAGTCCAGAAATGGTAACATAACAGGAAGCCAGAAAGTGGTGAGTTTGCTCAATAGTTTGAAAGCTTCTGAATCTTGAAAGATGTAGTGCATTGATTGAAAATATCCTTAAAATCATGACATCTACTGTAAATTACCCTCACAAAATAAGAACATTGAAACCTGGAAAAACTCTTGAGAAGGGCATAAATTGAGATTGCATTTTGACTATCAAATTCCTTTGGATATCTTTTGATACAAACCTGTCCTGAGCTGTCAGTCTCTGAAAGGTCCCCTTCTGTGTCAGAGGAGTTCTATGTTCTGATGTAATTGACTTCCTTAGACTTTGATCTAAGACAAACAAAAAGCTTGTTCTGATTTGGCATCTGAAATAGAGGAATACTTTGGTGGGGTAGGAGAGGAAAAAAAAGAGGTGAAATATGGTACTGCAAATATCTCTGCAAGGGGTTAAAAAGAAATCCCAGTGCACATTCTCCACTATTCACTGGGCATACCCAGGCACTGCTGTACAAACATCTGCAAGCCTTTGTGTGGCACTTCATCCGTACTACAACAAAACTTACTTGCATTAAACACAGGTAGGTAAAATACTAGTTTAAATAATGTAATCTCTGGGGGGAAAAAAGATCACACAGTGTATTTTCAAAGATACAGTGTGAGTAAATTATGAAGGAAAACATAGTGTGGATTTAATGCAATTCACTGCTAGTTGCACCTTGGTCGCTACGTGTGTGTGGCATTCAAAAAAGCTTCACCATCTGGTATGACTTGTAATTGCTGCTAAAGAAAAAGCTTCAAGAAGATGTTTTTGAGAGTTGCTGTGTTGTGTCAGGGATTGTGGAGGAGTATCAGTTTGTGCACTCTATCCAGATTAATTCTTAAACACACACACACCCCCTTGGCTGTTTCCTCAGCAAGAAACACTATATTACAATATGGGGTTTTACAGGAAGATGTTACACTTGCAGTGTTTAAACTAGTATTTAGGAGTCTTGGGTTTTGTCTGGCTACTAACTGCTGAGTAGTATAGTCTTATTTTTCTTGAAAAGAAAAAAAACAAACCAACCCCAAAACAACAAAAACAACGAACCCACACAAAAACCAAATCCAAACTCCAAACCTAAGCAATGTCAATGGGAATACTTGATGGGCTCTTTTTTTTTTTTTCTTTTAAAGTAGGTCACAGTGGCCTAAATAAGTGAGCAGATCTATTTCTGTAGTATTTTGTAATATTTTAGAGTAACATAAAGTATTATACAGAGGATGGTATTTTCTTAGTGACGCACCTGAAGGTCTTTGTCTCTTTTTCCCCAGTGTGGGTTTCCTCACTTCCCCTCTTTCTGAGTTTGGGTTGCAGTAGAGTGGGGCTAGATTATGCTTTTTGTGACATTACTCTTCCTGGCTAACTACTGAAAAGCCATAATAAAAAAGGGAACAAACTAGAGCTGTAGCCAAGTTGGTAACTGGCTGAGTAGACCTGTGTGTAGGCCAAAATTTGGAAAGATACAACCCCCTAAGTTAAGTGGATATAGTAATAAAGGAAAAAGCTACTTCTGTTTAACTTGCATATGGCTTTCTTAAGCACAGGGGAGGAGAAAGCAGTTAATGTTATTCGTCAAAGCTTAAGACTTTTACACGGGCTTTAGAAATCTTGTAAAAAGTGATAATTCAGGTGCTGTAGAATTGTACTATGCAACAGGAGAAAGTTGCATAGGTCTTCACCAAATCATTCTAAACTTTTGCCAATAATACCACATTATGACTGTCACACTTTGGGGTTGGTTTTCTATCTGCCTATTCTTACTTTCGTTACCTAGAGCTCATGAATTCTGATGCAGTATGGCTCTTGTACGGGATACTTAATTTATGATACAGTACCAAGAAATACCCCTAAACTCTTCCACAGGAAGTAAGGTGCCTTTCTTTAGTTTGAAACTCTTTTGTAATCTGTGAAGTAATTGAGGAAATTTAACTTGAAAAACAACAGCAACGTAGTTGTTTGCATCTATAAATGTGAATTTTACCTAACAATTGCTCTAAGCTTTAAAAAAACCCAACAAACTATGGGCTGTCATTTAGCCTTGTTCAGTGGGGGAGTGCGACAGAGTAGTTGAATTGCTTTGCTTCTGGTAAAGTAACTCTAAGTTCAGATTTAGCTATTATATAAATGAAACTTAAAGTTTGTTGGCAAATCTGCTCTGTAAGGGTTCATAAAAATATTTGTGTCTGGTGCTTTTTTAAGTCTTCCAGCAAGAACTGTTGCATTCCTTAGGCTATGCTGAGAAAGTTTGCTGAAGTGGATCGTCTGTTTTATGTTTCTGTAAACTTATAATTTATGGTGTAACTTTCAAAAACAAAATACAATTTTTTTTCCGAGACTGTTGGGGTTAAGGCAAGTGGTCTTAATTCTTCTATTTCTCTAGAGCAGTTTCAGTCCTGTGACAAAATGGAAGAAATACAGGCATATTAAACACCTGTAGTTGTCTTTAACTCATGTATTTGCAGCTCTCTTGAGACAGATATTCCTGACTCAAGAAAAGGATTACTTTCTTGTTACTTGAAAGTTGAAAAGTGTGTCTCTTTTTGTCAGTGCCTGGCTGAGAATTTTCCAAAAACCTGAGATATATATATAATTAAAATAGCTGGTTTGTGCATTCTGTTTTCCAAAGAGTTGTATGGTTTCATAGATGATTGCGCCAATATTTGATGAGCTGTGGAAGAGGAATACCTAGTATTCTTCTGGCAGTAAGATTTCCACATCTCTTCCAGGCTGCTTGAAGACCCCTGTGGTACTCTTCTGGTTTAAAGCAGTTTATTTTTCTTACACACACACACACACACACACACACACACACACACACACACACACACCCTTCCCGGTGATGTTAAAATGTTTCTGAATTCCATTCTAGAAATAGCACCACAGTTTCGCTTGCAGTTGAAATGATTCCTCTGGGTAATTGGCAAAATGCTTTGAGTTGTAAAGTGTTGATATAAGTAGTGTGATAAGAAAATGAGCATCACTTGCCCTACAAATTCCAGTTTTTGTTGCCAGCATCCCTATTAGTGTTGCTCATCAGTCTCAGGTGCATGTGTTCCTTTATATATCCACATGTATGGTGGTAATAGACTTCTCTTTGCCACCAGCTGTAACAGATCCATAGTTTGTGTGTAGGCTTGTTTGATGTAGATATTCCTGTTGCAGACTCAGAAGAGCATATTAGAGAAACAACACTTGCCTTTTCTGTTACGTATCTCAAGAGCTGGAATTCAAACACAATGCTAGTTTTATTTATACTAGATGTAAAATAAGGAAAAAATTGCCCTGAGTATCCTTATTAAAGAGTCTTTTTAAACTTAGGTTTTGCAATTCACTCTTAGGAAACACCAGTTTTGGCCTATAAAATACACTGAGGTTTATTTTATTTTTTTCATTCTTAGTTTACTATTTTAGAGATGCTTTGTTTAAGTATGTGTTCTTTGGTGTTGGCAACTGTGGCTTATGAGTTTGTGCATTCAAGGAGACTAAAGACCTGAATTGTGCTAAGTGCCCTCAATAAAAATTGTCTTCAGGGAAGCCAGTCTTCAGCACACGTCTAAAGTGCATGGCACTTGCAGCTCATTCAAGTCCTCTAACCTCAAACACAGCTTGAATTAAACTCTGAGTAGCCTTACTGTGTGAAATCTCATTTTGGTTGCCTTTTAAAATGGTCAGGCTCACATCTTACAGGAACAAGTAGAATGTGCTGAAAACCCTTACTAGCACTTTATTGGAATTACTAGAACTGCACTTCTAAATCACGTGGAGCTACATTTGTGGAATAAAACAGTACCGCATGAGTTCTCAAATGCACCTGAGGTCTATCAACTTCCACTCTGTTAATGTCACTTGACAGAAAACTTCTTTTAGTCTTGTGTACCAAAGCCAGTTGCTCCCTTCTAAAGGTAGACAGACATCTAGAAGGCGTTTTATGGTTGTAAACCTTTATGATGGCATGAAAAGCTAAAGCTTTAAGGAAAGAGAGAGGCATTTGATGTAGTTGCTAACAGTATAATTTCTGTCACATTGTGTCTGAGCAGTACTATGAGAACTTAACTTTTATATCAGTTGTAGGCATAGCTATATGCAAGGGATCTCCCAGGTGTTCAGCATCATCTTAGACTTTACAGGAACCTAGTAGACCTTAGCTTGAGGGAAAGTGACAAGATTGAAATCTCTGGAGAGTGCTGGCAGTGTAAGAATGAAGTTACCTTGGCTAATTTGACTTGAGACCAGAAAGCATTTGGTTTTAATGTGGATCTTCCCTCCCAGTAAGCACTCTTAATATTGAAAATCTTCATTGAAAAAATTGACTTGCTCAGTGGTTCTGTGTAGGAAAAAGGCTGTATGCAGAAATAGTATTTTCAATAGGCTGTCTCTGACCTTAGCAGATCAGTGGAATTTCTTTAATTGCTCCCTAGTAGTAATGTTATAGGCATTGTTACAGGTATTGTAATGTTGTAGGTATTGCTCTGTTTAGAGTTTGTTAGTTGTTCAGTTTTTATAAACTTAGTATAGGACTTGTAACATTTCTGTGCTGGTTACAGCCACTTCAGCTCCCGGAAAAATACCAAACAAGTTCTCATCCAGTAGATGAGGCTGTTGAATTGAAGTTCGGGTCTTCTCTGTGCATAAATTATGGACTGCTGCATTATATGGAGCAATGGTCGTCTGTGGACTGTTTGGATTTCTAGAAATGTTAAAGTACTTCTTAATTTGACACTGTGTGATGATACAGCTGTGAGTTGTGAGCAGCATGTATCAAATGGCATGGGTTTTGAGACTCTTCATGTTTGTAAATACTGAAATGTTTTAATAATACTCAACAATAAAGTTTTGATGAATAGCTTGAAACTTCTTTCCAGGGCTGCTCTTTCTTTCAGCATTTTGTGTGTTACTAATAAGGATGAAAGTTTTCAGCCCAGCTGTCATGTTTTGTACATGTTTTGAAACCTTTGGCATCAGAATGAAATTAGTAACTTATTAGAATTGGCATTATATAGCTTTCTACTTCAGCAAGATACTAGCTAAAACTCATTACTTTATTAAGATCACTCTGGTTAAGTTGTTCTAAACAGTGATCCTTACTCAAAGAATTTAATATTCTTAATAAACAGATCTGTAAGATACATTTGTAATCTATTTTGTGCAGTGAAACAGATAGAAATTCTAACTGCAGTCTTTCTGTGAAGTATTTTGTGCGACACTATCAATGTGTGATCTCTAAGTTCATGTTTAAATTGCTTGTGATAACTTAGTCTGTCCTGCACATGGAGCTAATAAGACAAGTTGGCCAACACCCCAGTATTCAGTTGTTGCCCAACTTCCCAAGCATCTACTCTTCTTCAAGTACTTAGACAGACAAACCGCATGAACAGCAATGCTGCTCTGCAGCCAACAGGCTGCTCGCAGACTTGGCTTAAAGAAGAGGCCACAAAGGAAGCTTTTCAAACTCAATGTTTGTTTTTCTGGCCTTGCCCAGTCCTTAAGGTGTACTTTGATCACACCTGAGCCAAATTTAGCTCAAGAGAGAATAAATGTCTAATGTGCATGTCTTGAGGGGTTTAGAATAGTCCTGGATTTGGTTCTTTGCTTTCTTCTCAGCAGGCCTTTTTTTTCCCAGGTATCTGCTGGAGCTTGTTCTGGTTTTGTACCAATACTCAGGCAGAGACTTGAAGTATTCTTAACTTCCCAGGTTAATGTTCTACTACTGAGTTTATAATCAGTCTTGGACACAAAGAGGTTTTTTATATAAAAGCCTGAGACCTGCAATGGTCCACCGCAAAATACTTGGTTTGCATCTGTAGAATCAAATTCTTGCTCTTAATTCTAATAGAAAAGAGGCTTATTGCAAGTTTGTAACATCTCACTTGCTATCGTGTGTCCGTACACAAGCTTAGATTGGAGCTGCAGGGTCCTTGCTGCCTGTTCATCTCATGAGGCACAGATGTCTCAGCTTCTCCTCGCTGCTCTCATTTTTCCTGGTGGTTGGTTGGTTGATTGGTTGTGGGAGGTTTATTGTTGGGTTTTTTTGTTTGCTTGGGTTTATTTTGTCTGTTTTTTTTCCAAGATTGAGTGGGTATCAGACAATAATTTGGGCATAGAGTTTCTACTGGAGCAAGTCATTGGTGATATGCTGAGACTCCCATAAAATTATTGAAATGTCTTTGAAGTTCATGCTTGGAGTCTTTCAATAAAATGCAGTGAATTTGAGTAGGGAGTGTAAAATAGCTCAATTATTTCTTATAATGCACCCAATAAGAATTCTGAGTATAAAAGCACAAAATAAGGATCCTCTTTGAGCATACAGCTTATTGTAATATTTTGATTTTTTTCCCTTTAATTTAGATCTAATACAGTGCACAAATGAAATGAATGTGAATATTCCACAGTTGGCAGATACACTCTTTGAGAGAACTGCAAACAGTAGCTGGGTTGTAGTGTTCAAAGCTCTAATTACAACACACCACCTCATGATGTATGGAAATGAGGTAAGACATGATTACTTCTCTTAAAACCTCCTTGGCAGTACGTTAAAATTTTTTCTCAATCTTTGAAACATTAGATGTGTACTTTGATTTTCAATGGTCTTTGTTTTTCCTCTGCTGATGGCTGGAAAGTACTTCTCCAGAGAAAAAAATATTCTTTCATTATTTCAATACTGAAATATATCAATATTTGCAATATACCTGCCAGTGTCTGGGCTGGGCTATGAGGGAATGATGAGTGACCTTTCTAGAATAAAGAGCTTTATGAGCTCTTTATGGTGAGCTTTACTTCATTAGGCTGGTGCTTATCAGTAAGAGCACAGCAGAAGAGTCTTGTTGGCACTCCATAAATGTGTAGACAACCTATTAATAGATAAGAATACTTACTAAAGGGGGGGGGGAGGAATATGTTGACTAGAATATTGGATATTGGAAATCATCATCTAATTGGATAAATCTTCATACACTCTTACTATAAACATTTCTCCTAAACAAGTTTCTGTTGCTTTTCTTTATTTCATCACTATTTATGAAAAGCTTCTCAAACAATACCGTGGCATTAAAACTGTAGCCTCTCTTAGGCAGTTATTTCTGTTAGAAACTCAACTTTCTCTTGGTCAGGTGACAGTTTAGTCCTGAACTTGTGTGTAGGCGTTCTTGTAATAAATAACTGTCAAATGGTAATAATGATGATTCTTAAGGTACTGCTTCCAGCCACTAAAATGCTCTGAAACCTTGGTTGCCTCCTCTCACTTCATTGAGATGACTTGTAAAACACAGTGTGCTCTTTGTTAATGCTTTCCCAAGTTATTTGTATGTTTAGATTATAGTTTCAACAGATAATAGGCTGAAATTAGAGGATAATACAAGGATAAGTAAAATTCACTTCTTGGAATTCACTACTTAGAATAAGTATGAAGCTAAACTGAATGCTGTAAGTCAGTTTGTATATTTCGTTCTCTTTTTCCAATACAGTTCAGATCTACACACTGAAGCTTGCAAGAAAACAAACGAACTGTAGTAAAAATTACAAGCTTAAGAGCTGTGGGCTAGCAGTCAGTGTCTATTTGCCTGTGCAGCATTTTGCAGTGGCAGAGAAATTTTCATGTCTGCTCCTCTGCTTTGAATGGATGCATTTGAAACTGGAAGAGTTACTTTATACCTGCTGAGATAATGTGGCTGGAACACTAGTTCTGTAATTTCAGGTGGAATGTGAGTGGACTTCTCTCTGCTCTCATACATTAGAGAAGGCTTTTTTCTTATACAGATGAAAAATTATCAGATGTTGGACTTCCATTTTAAGTAGAAGTACATATAGCAGAAAGTCAAAGTGTTGTCTGAGTAGTTACTGTCTTGCAGCTTCTTGTTCAACGTGACTGCCTGTTTCTTATGATGAAGTTTTGGCTGAAACAGGTTAAAATTCCTCTCAGCTGTGCATTGTGCAATGCAAGACATCCAGCATCTGGAGGGTGAGGCTTAGCCCTGGGCCTTTTTAAAATGAGATTCAGAACAGTAGCTAATTTTGAAATTGTATAGACACATTTTGAACATCACCATTCCATTCCTGACCATGTTACAACTGATTTTCTTCTACATCTCTGTGAATGCAGTACTAAGTCATACCAATCATAATCCTCTTCGATGGATTAAAACACATACAAAGAAGCAAGAAAGGCAAGAAATTGCTGTCACAGATCTGTGTTCAACAGTGGCAGAGAAGCTTTTAAAACTATCTTGTTACCTGAATGTGTTTGCCTCTTCCTCTGTGTTATTTATGGAGCTAACTACTACTTGTCAAAACTTTGTTGTTAGTCAGATCAGTGCATTACAATGTATATATATAACTATAACCCTAGTGCTGCTGCTGCTGCTTCCTACCACAGTTCCAGAAGCATATTGTTACTTTTAAACTTTGTAACTGAGTGTGTTTCCCACTTCCACAGCACCAGCAGAGCTCTGTGAACTGTGGGAGCTTGGATAATGCAAGTGGTATTTTTGGTTTGTTTTCCAGCTTGTCTATTCTAAAATACAAATTTAACCTAAGCAGCCTCTTCTGGGATTATTAGTCTTTTATTCATGGGAAGTGATGTCTTTTTATTTAATTTTGTATTTTTGAAATAGAGTTTTAGATTTCAGAGCCTTTGCTAATCAGTAGCTTCTACTTTTCCTTTAAATTTTTCCCTTTTAACTGATTTCTATTGTTGATAGAGGTTACTAGAAACAGCTATAAGCTAAGTGTAGCTTTCTTGTAATAGGCTTAAATGTTTTGACTCTCACAACAATAATATTTTCAACTTCTTCACCAACAGCGCTTTATCCAGTATCTTGCATCCCGAAACACTTTGTTCAATTTAAATAACTACCTGGACAAAAGTGCCATGCAGGGTAAGGACCTTTCACTGAAGGAAGTAACTGCTCATTTTTCGCTCTGTATTAGCTCACTCTAGGAGAATGGTGAGAAGGATGTGCTGTATAAACAGAACCCCTTCTGATCTCTTGAGAATTATTTGCCAATTGTAGAAAACATTTTGGGGTCTTTACGTGTTTTTTGAAGTGTTGCAGATAAGCTACCGAAGTTTTCAGCATTTTAGTAGGAAGGCACTTCTTAGACTAGTTTTAAGAATATCTCAATAGGAGCTGCTTGATTCTTGCCTAATATTTTATGCTTGGATCTTGCCTAATAGTTTAATGTGTTTAGGTGTTTATTTTCATAATCGCAGTGAATATTTTTCTAATGCTAGCAAGTTGGGAAGAAACTGTAACACCACATCTCAAGGTGAAAACCAGTGAATCTCAAGACTCGGGGAAGTGCCTTTGAGGAGATTTTTATGCGAATTGATGAAAAATGGGCTCATGAAAGAACAGTTTTTGAAAAGAGCTTAAAAAACCCTGTATCCCCTCAAAATGTCTAACTTACAAATGCTTAATTTTCAGGCTATGATATGTCTACCTTCATTAGGCGATATAGCAGATACTTGAATGAAAAAGCACTTTCATATAGACTTGTAGCAGTTGACTTCACCAAAATGAAAAGAGGGTAAGACTATTGCTGCTGCTTTTGTTTGGTCTTCCATACTGGGGGGGGGGGAGGAAATGGCAGTCATTCTTGAGTTTACTGTAGACTTGTGTCTCTTTTGGCCCTTTGAAGCAGTATACTGTTTTTGAAACAGCATAATACGTTGAGGTCTCTTAGTAACTTGTAAATACGTGTCTTCTACTGTGTAGGATAGATGGAGTGATGAGAACCATGAATGCTGAAAAGCTTCTGAAAACCCTTCCAATCATACAGAACCAGCTTGATGCACTCCTTGATTTTGATGTAAGTACTTTAAACCCAGTGTTAAGTAACACTCTCATTTTTAAGTGAGAGTTTCATTATTTTATTAAATACTAATTTACTTTCTCATTGCTTTCTACACAGGCAAATCCAAATGAACTAACAAATGGTGTTATAAATGCTGCCTTTATGCTCCTCTTTAAAGATTCCATTAGACTTTTTGCAGCATACAATGAGGGGATTATTAATCTTTTAGGTATGTGAGAATTTTTTTAGCTTTTGAACTTTTGTGTAAGATACTAAGAGAACTAAAGAATACAGACAGTTTCTGACTGCAGTTTCATAATAAATTGTCTCTGCTCCATTACCAGTGAATTAAGACTGTCCTAGTTTCAGTGGCAACTAGCGTAGGCTTAAACATATGCTTCTTCCCTAGAAGAATACATCATGAAACAGAAGCTGAGGAAAGGGTGAGACTAGAACAAAGATACCATATGTGCAGTGGGTAACCTTTGTGTTTGGGCTCTAAAAGTATTAGTGAGATACCTGGTATTTTGAGTGTTCAGTATAGTCACAGTATGACTGACTTCTGTTTTCTTGTAATTTATAGCTTGACTATTCACCTTTACGTGGTACCTGAATCTCATGAGCACAGTAGATGACATGTATGATTTCTTGTCCAAGAGCAATAAGCTCTTAGCAAGGCCTTATAACGATTACTTAAGGAAATTTTTGAATGGAAACATTTTAGTTTGTTCTGTTAATGCATTTACTCAATGAAATATTTGTAATTATATAGGGCAAAACCGTAAAAAGTGAAGGATGTGGTTGATCCTTCTTTTGGTAGGTCAGTTCAGTGTTTGAATCACTGTAAGGGTTCTGATGTCTTTTGGATATTGAGCCTATTTGCAAGCATCACAATATAATGATACAGGGTCTAAAAATACAGATATGTACCAGGAATATTTTCAATTGCTAAAATAATTTGCCTCATTGCCAGATAATAAGCTGACTTCTTGAAAAATCCCCCTAAGTACCTAATTTAACAGTTGCAGTGGTTCACATTTGTGCTTAAAAAAGCTTTGTGTTATATTCTAATTTTCCAAAATAGAAAAAGTGTTTTCTTTTGATTAACTTATTACAAAAGGTGTCAGGTTTTCATGTAAACTTTAAAGTCTGAGTAGCTTTGAGTTACTCCCGTCTGAAGCTTGTCTGAAACCTACTTTTATAATATTGTCTTGGCTTTTTGCTGGTGGGTGGTGTTATCTTACATGAGTTTTATTTGCATCCTCAGAAAGATATTTTGATATGAAGAAGAACCAGTGCAAAGAAGGCTTGGATATTTACAAAAAATTTCTAGCCAGAATGACCAAATTGTCAGAATTCCTCAAAGTAGCAGAGGTAAATAAATCTGTGCCAATGGATAGGGTGTTGTTTTGCTGTCTGTACTGGTACAGTAGTCTATAATCATAAAATGAGCTTCATCTACAGAGTAATACCTGCTGAACTTTGCTATGCAAGAAAGTATTTTACAGATTAGCTATTTTAGAGATAGTATGCACTCATTAACATGAAGTGAGTTTCTTGGGGATCCTTTTTATTAGCCAGACAACAGAGTAAATTTTCTGTAGTGTTGTTATAAATTGCACAAAGGGTCCAAAATGTATGAACTGAATGTTACAGTCTATTTACAGCGCTCTCCTTTACTGTAACTGCTAACAATGGAGATGTAATTCCAGTAAGCAATGCAGGTGTTTCTAATGCTGCCAGTAAGCTTTTTTGTGTTAAAGTTAGGCTGGACGAAAAGTTGGGTTTGCTTTGAGATGCAATTTAATGCACTTGTGATTGCTAAGTTTCAGTGAAATTCATACCACTTTATAAAATTATTAATATCCCTTTTTAGTATGTTAGCTTCTAGGTAACATTCGGACATCACTGGTTTTATTTTCATTGCCACTGCATGTAATAATGGACTTATTTCTTTTTTCTTTTTTTTTTTTCTCCTTGTAAACCCAGCAAGTTGGAATTGATAAGGGAGACATTCCAGATCTTACTCAGGTCAGTTTATGTATCTTATTGATTAACCCACCAGGTTCTTTTGCAAGTTCCTTCAGTTCATAGGAACACTGTATTTCTAACCTAGGACGACCCAACAGGACAGGGGTATTTGATGTTCTTTCTGTAGTGCAGAGTAATCTGATGAGTAGAATAAATGGCAGTCTGTCAGGAGATTCTGGCAGTAAACTGGAGTGCCTTAGAGGTTTAGAGTACGCAGGCTGTCTAAGTGGAGCCAGTGTGAAACAGTTAAAATCTAACACGTGAACTTTTGAACATTCGCATCTAATCCTGCACCACCTCACAAAATTAAATTTCATGTGTAAAAATATATTTACTGTGAAGATTCGCCTAAACTTTGCCAGTGTCTTTTTAATATGGAACTCAAATTGAAACCACAAGCTTCCATTGTCAGTGTTGTTGCCAACATTCCAGTTGGCAGTAACATTCCATCTGAAGTAATACATGTTTTAAATACAGATCTTTAATGCTTCCTCCCAGCAATTAATATTAAGACCTTTAAGAACTTCTAAGCCTTTGTTCTAGGAAAGAAATAAGACTGTCACCAGCAGTGTAGGAGCAGAGAATGAATGAAAACAGTAGTTTGATGTTTTCTGTTGGTGTTTGATCTTAGCATCTTAGTCTTTGACTATTACTGCAGTATTCAGTTGGTCTGTACTATGCTAATCAAATCATATTCAAGTCTGAAGTGGTAATTCACTGGGTTTGTGTGCACTTGTCCAGTTAATTGGGTCATTATAAGGCCCTTCAAAGCAATTTTTTTCTCTCTTTTTACTTGAAACTTCATTTTACTGCTTTTTATATCCGAAACTTTCAGTGAGCATAAACCCTTTATAGCTGCTGTTCTCACAACTTTTTCTTTCAGTTAATAGTTCAGCTGTTTTCTTGTAAGTGCACTTAGATGTGAAAGGCAACTCTGAAGTGTGATGGTGCATGTCAGCATCCTGTGTATTCCACAACTCCTGGGCCACTGTTAAGCAGTTCACTTCTGTAGTAAATTTCTTGGCATTTAATAAGAGTTGAATAATTGTACATCCATTTAGTGCCATGTTAAAAGAAGTTGCTGAAATTTCTTAATACCAGGCTTTCACAGAAATTTAATTTTCTGTGTGCTTACATTTCTGAAATATGTTCTGACAGGACCATGTCTTTGATTCAACTCTGGTCTACCATATTTAATCTATCTCCTAATACTTTGTTTATGCTTCTGGTGATTATTCTGTTCTGGGGTATGCATGTTTCAGAGTTTCTTTAAACGGCTTTTGACAACAATGGGTTTATCTCTTTAGAGGTTTATTATTACTGCTGCTGTATAACTGTTTTCCTTCCTTGATACTAATGTTGACACTACTGCCACTTTTGCCAGCTCTTATATAGAGAATGTTTCCCTTTATAGGTGCCCTGTTCCACAGTGATGTTGCTTACTTTTCGTTTATAGCTGTAATTATATTTCATGAACATATAACTGGGTTGTTTTCCTCTGTCTGGATGTTAGTCTCTCAGATGTCTTTGGGTGGGGGGAGGGAGGCTGAGTCATAAAATACAGCCTGTTTCAAGTCATAATATCTGGGTTAGCCCAGACATCGTCCCTGACATAAAACTACTAAGAATTTCATCTGATGTTGTTGGATGTCTGCAGCAATGAGAGTTACTGGTTGGTTGACTTTAGGTTTTATGGTTGAAGGGGTTGTTTAGAAGGTTTTAGAAACAGTAAGTATAGAATATGCTTTTCTATGCAAAGAAGTTTCATGTCTCTGTGCTACTCCTTTTAAAGAACCTTTAAAGAACAACTGATGTGCAGGATGGCACAATTACTGGTGTATGAGATTTTGTTTGGTTTTAATGGATATGGACACTAATCTGTGTACTAAACAATGATGTGTTGTCTAGAAGCAATGTTTTATAAGTACTTTAACTTTGGTTTTATAAATACTTTTACTAGGCACCAAGCAGTTTGCTTGAAGCACTGGAACAGCATTTGGCTTCTGTAGAGGGAAAGAAAACAAAAGAAGTCTCCGCTGCCATCAGGTGAGCAGCCAGTGAATTACAGTGGTTGCCCATACCTGGGATTTCATCTTCATGCTAAGAATTTTCAGGCTTCAGTCATTTGGTGTTTTTGAATTGTATCTTCTAAAAGTATAAGTGAGGCATCTAGTGAGTAATAGTCTGATAGCTTAGTCACATTTGAAATCTGGGTATGTCTGCCTGTATCTCTGACAGGGTATTATGCTGTAATAAACCACTGAGCTGAGACTTTGTAGATTATTCTTTTTAGCTTTTACTTGTTTCAAGTCCTTTGGCTTATAAGTCTTATAAGGTATTTGGGTTTTGAGGCTCTTTTTACCCAGGATAGGATGGCATGTATCTTCATTGTCCATTATCCACCTCTCAGACTGAAATTATCTTAAAACTTACTCATAGAAGTTTTTTGATCCCTTCTCAGAACAGCCAAATTAGGTGAGATGCTTTGTGTTGACAGAAATTTTGTTGGTTTTTTTTCTATCAAGTACAGTATCAATATGTGTGAACAGTACTTCTGATGGAAGAGTCAGAGAGATCTTTTAGCATAGACATTCTCCCACAGAAACATGGTAGATGTTAATAAACGTATCAGTGTAAGCTACATTCCTGAGTTGCTGTCGTATTCCTCAGGTCTTTTGTGTGGTTTTGCAAGTATCTGAGGATTTATTGTGCAATACTCTGCTAAAAACTGTACTCTGTAGGGAATAACTTTGCTTTATTCACTGTTATATGGACAGTATGTACAAACAAGCTTTCTGTGTCTCTGTCACTTGAATAGAGTAGAATTCCAATCTAATCTGTATGATCTTAAAGAAAAAAGACAGCTGGTGTGTTTTGCACTTTTCCAATTCCTACCTGCTGAGACTTGAGGAAGTAATCCTGTGTACTCACACTGCTTTTTCACCAAACTCCATTATTGGGGTGTCTGCTTTTCTTCCCTTACTCTGTTGCAGGAAAGACTGGAATGGAGGGGGAGTAACACACCACTAAGACACTTGATGATTGCGCTATCAGTGATGTATATCTGACTGCTTCTTAATAAAACTTTTTTAAAATCATTACTTTTTTTAGAGCTACTGCCCTATCCAGGGCTGTTTCCACACTTGCCTGTACAGGAATGCTGTTTAGGAAGATGGATGAGAAAGAAAAACAACAGGCATTGGAGGAGGAGCAAGCTAGACTGCAGGCGCTTAAGGTACTATATTTTTTACAAGTTTGTATTCTGAGATTTATTGGAGGGTTAACTGTATATATGTGGAAACCAAGTCTGGCTTAAAATTTGGGGGTGGGGGAGGTATGGTGAACCTCTCACCTCGAGAGACCAAGGCATGATTCTGTAGGATGTAGGTGTAATGGCTGCTAGAAGTACGTGGTGGCTCTTTTACCAGGAGTATGACTTGAATAGGAGGCAGCTAATACAGATCATTTATATGCTTCTTTACAGGAGATTGTTATTTATCTCAAAGATTCACAAAATGAGAGTACAACAATTCTGGGTTACATCTTAGCAGCTGAATATACAGCATTGCTATCGTAAGACTGATTATTGGTAGGAGGGAATTACTTTTCCCTATGATGTATGGAATATGGCCTAATGTGATTCTTCAGTCATGTTGCTCACAATGAGGGGATATGCTATAGTTCTGTTCACATTTAACTGCTCTTATTTATAATTCTATAGTTTACTTTGAAAAGCAGTTTGAAATCATACATGTTTAGGTATAATTCATGGACTTCGAATAATAACATATTTGAAGTGTGATAACATGTAACATTTGGATTGTATTCTCTCTTGGTTCCTTGATGTGCTTTTGCTTGCTCATTGGTACTTGTTGAGTCATCCTCTTGATAATATCTCTCTCCTAAGGCCTGAATCCTGGTCCTTCAGGTCCCTTTAATTCATTTATAGCACTGTTACCTGAGAACATAGTCACTATAAAATCTCAAACAAGGCAAAATGCTTCTCTTAGTGAAAGCTAAGTCTGTAATTCTGTTGTGTCCCAGGCATACACAAGTGGGGCAGTTGGAAATTTTTTGTGTGTTGCTTTAACATCTCTACACATGCCTAAACAATAAAGCAACTCTGCTCATGTCATCTGGAGGTCACATCTTAAAACTATTTAGAGTGTGAAAACAAAGTTTAATGGTAATGCAGAGTTGTTTTGTCTTTGGAATTATAGAGGTCTATTGAAGATTCTTTCCTGACAAAAATGCAAACAGTGTATCTCATTTTTCAGGAGCAGCGATTAAGAGAGATTTCTGTAGTATCAAATTCCATTTCCAGATCAGCATCCCCAAGCACCTTATCAGAAAAAAGTGTGAATACCACTGTAGCTGTTGACCTCTTTTCAGTACCAGCACCCACAACAAATAGGTGAGAGATACTTGACTTTCTGAAGCAAGCAGAAATTACTGCACTGGCCTGTAGCTCCACAGTCAGCTGCAAAGCAATTGCAGCTTCTCAAGTACTTCTCCAGAATAACCTTTTGCTGATGCTTTCCCAGTGTATTCCCAGAAATTTTGGTTACAGTCAATAATAAGTACTTAATTACTAGTTTTGTTTTGTATTGCTGTTATTGGTGGGCTGTTAGTAAATAAGAGAAAGTCAAATGGGTGTGAATGTTCATACAACACAGGAATATAGTGCCTACTACACATCTTAATGTTTCCCTCTCTCTTCTTATTCAGCATGCCCAACCTTTCTAGTGACCTTTTTGATCTTCAGCCTGCGTTTGTTCCAGCTGTGCAGAGTACTCCAGCTATACCCACATCACCAAGCAGTGCTTGGGGAGGTGAGCTGATACCATGATTTGACTAAGCTGTAGGTGAATTCTTGGAATACAAGAATAAAATAGATTCATATTTAGTTGAATGTACATCTTAAGCCTTAATTACTTTGCACCCAAACATTTCTGTCCTTGACAGAATATAAGTTATCTGAAAGCTCTGGTGAACTGTTATAGAAAAGTTATTTTTTTTTTAACACGTAGCAGTAGTGTCAATGTGCAGTAAATAAAATGAAGGAGATATTTAATAAAAGGGAACAGATAGAAGAACTGTAACTAAAAATTAAAGTGTAAAGACTCTGGGAAATACAAAATAACCAGATGTAGCTGAAAAGATGCTGGACTAGTATTTCCATTAATATACTTTTCATTTAAAAGATGTTGGTGACTTCAGAGTTCTTACAACATAGCTGTTCTTTCCAGCTTCTTGTGCACAAAATTCTCTGTACTCTCACCAATCCTTCCAAAGTATAATGAGGATAGATGTCGAAGAAATGTATTAAATGCTGAAATAAGGCAACGTTAACAGTATTGTAAGTGTTGGTATTTTAATAGGTAGAATTGATTACCTATATGTGCTATTTAAAAGGTAGATTCTTGAAGCCAGAAATGTAGTAGCTAGCTTTTTTGACTGATGAATGTTGTGTCATTCTCCCTCTCCCACAAAATGGCAATACGACAACTATTTTCCCTAAATAGAGCTGTTAGTTTTTTTGGGGTTTTTTTTATCTGAAACTAAGAATTTGAATCTTTAATGGGCAGATCACTAGGTAGAATATTTAGGATTTTACTTTGTCTAGAGATTCTCATATTCAGTCATTTCAGTCTGGTTTCCTTTTCCATTATTTGTACTCTGTATTCTTTCCTTCACTTCTGCATCTGAAAGGTCCTTTCTCGTCCTCAAATGGTTGTGTTGGTTCTCCACCTCATCTGGACATCTTTGACATGAAGCCAGTTGAAGAAGCTGTAAAATCTGCCACCCCTTTCATCAATTCTGCTTTTTCCTCCAAACAAACGGTGGAACTGTTTAGTGGTAAAAACCTAACCAAAAAAACTCATGTCATTTCTTTGCAACTGGAGATGATTATGCTAAAAAACTGGGCCCTGTAATCTTTTTGTGCTTTGGACCAATCTTCACTTTTATTAAAAAGTGAAAATGGTGCAGTAATTCCACACATAGCAAAAGATACGTTTCCTTAAAAATTAATTACTGTAGTTGAAACAACTCCTTATTGTGTTCAGCTTGCCCAGCATAGATACCCTAAGACTTGTAATGTTGCTGGAATTTTTGCTGCTTCCTTTCAAACTGCAATCTCTTTGCTGTTTTGTAATGGGGAATGCAGGAGCCACTTGAGCTTTTCAAATTTGTTCAATAATAAAAAAAAAAAAAAATCCTCATTTATTACTAAAAACTCTAAAACGAAGACTTAATTATTGATTCTCTTCTTTCTTTTTCTCTTTCAAACTGATCTGATTTTCTTCTCTCTTTTTACAAAGATGACTTTAGTGGTCAAACACCTACATATGCTTCTGTGTATCATCCTCTGACTGTTGATGGTAATTTGATATTTTTTAACTTTCTAGTTTGACTGTGATGAGTGGCATTACTCCATGGCTGTATTTGAATACTCTAACCATTTTTTTTTTCCAGGTTTTCCTCTTCATTCAGCTCCTCCAACAATTAACGTGGACTTCGATGCTGTTTTTGGAGGAAAATCTACAGCACCAGAGTACAGGACTACAAATGGTAACAACCAGCTTATGACTAATTTATACCCTCCAGGCAACACTTGCTTAACAGTTTAGCATAATTGCTATTGCAGTTTAAATTTAGAATCACAGAATGGTTTAGGTTGGAAGGGACCTTAAAGCTCATCCAGTTTCAACCCTCTGCCTTGGGCAGGGACACCTTCCACTAGAGCAGGTTTCTCCAAGCACTGTCCAACCCGGCCTTGAACACTGCCAGGGATGGGGCAGCCACAGCTTTCCTGGGCAACCTGTACCAGCGCTTTCCTAATCTAAATCTCCCCTCTGTCAGGTTAAGCCATTCCCCCTTGTTCTGTCCCTACAGGCCTTTGTTCAAAACCCATCCCCAGCTTTCTTGTCTGCCCCTTTACGCACTAGAACCTGCTCTGAAGTCTTCTCAGAGCCTTCTCCCTGCTGAACAAGGCCAGCTCTCTCAGCCTCTCTTCATAGGAGAGGTGCTACAACCCTCTGAGCATCTTCATGGCCTCCTCTGGACTGGCTCCAACTTTAAGAACATAGTACATTTGCAAGCTGATTATAGAGCTGATAGATAATTATAATTGAGCTGATTGTCAAGTTAAAATTAGCTTTGCATAATCTCATATACTGTAATAATAACTGTTTCTTCTTTTCTTTTGGGGAATGAACTTTGAATGTGGCCCTCTGGATATCTCTTAACTGGTAAGTTTATGTTAGTCTGTTTTTAGTGCCTATGACTTCAGTGTTTTCTTTTGATGCATGATAATGAGTTTCCTCTAACTTCATTGAAATGCATTATACTTTATGTACAATGTATTTAAAAATGTATTTCTAAAAATGTGCTGCTTGAAGAATAGCTGAATTATGATCTTTCTCTTGATTGTTGGTATTTTACTATGCATTCAAAGTCCTTATGAACATACAGCAAAGGAACTCTTGTGTACATTCAGGATACTAGCAGTATCATGAAATTTCTGATTTATTTTTACAAGATCATTTTAGAAACTGTCTTTAACAACCTCACCTCTTCAGTCTGAGGACGTTCATCTTAATTTAAAAATACCATCAGTTACTGCTGAAGAAAATTAAAGACTCTACTGATTAGTGGCTACAGTATAGGATTGTACAAAAAAACCCAGAGATTAATTTATGCTTCAGTCCAAGTGTTAAACACTTCCAGCATGTTGAACCTCCACTTGTAAATAGTCAAACTACTTTGTGTTCTATAAAGAAAATACCTCCCTTATGGATGGAATGGATGTATGGCTTATGGATGCCTTATGGATGTATTTTATGACATGCAATGGAACTTTTGTTAACAGTTGCTTCTTTTGTTCTTCCTTTAGGTTTTACCCTTCTAGATGATGTATTGCAACCCACAGGACCACCACAGAGTCAAAGAGCCCCTTTAGCCAGCCAGCAAAATGGAAAAATTTTGGCAAACGACCTTGATTCTTCACTTGCTAATCTAGTGGGAAGTAAGTATGAAGCTTTTAAATCTAACTTTCCCATTTGTTACTGAAAACAAAACAAGCTTCCCCCCACCCACAAAAAAAACAAACCCAAAACTTAAGGATTTTGTCTGTTTCTCTTCTCCCTTCCCTCTCCCCTTAGATCTTGGCTTTGGAGGAACTCCACCCAAAAAGTAAGTGCATACATGTACTTATAATGTTCTCACATGAGTATTTGATAGTCTCTGGCAATTTATCATCACTAACATGGCAAGAGTCTCAACTCTTGAAAGTAGTCTGGTACCAAACCCAGCAATGAAAGAGTGAGTTTGTGGTGAGTTATCCCAACATGGTCAACCTTAACTTGGAAGTAGTTCAATGAATTTAGTTTTGCAGTTACTGTATTTTTATTTAAGTATTTTATGAAGCACCATAGAAGATCTTGCAGTTACATAAAACTTATGTAAAACATAATTATAATTATGTAAAACATAATTACGTAAAACACAATTATGCTGAACGGTGCAGTAATGATAGTTTACTTTTAACATAAAACAGAACCCTCAGACATCATACTTGAACCATGAATAGTTACTGAAATCCTCAGTGTTTCCTCTACCTGTAGATTTCAGCTGTGTACCTGTATTGAGGCATGTTTTGTTTTTCCATTATGTTGTTACTCTAGTTGTTGACTTTGAGAACTAATAGCAGTTTCATTGTAGATCGGATATGCAGTGGACCCAGCCTACAGAGAAAAAACTTACTGGTGGAACAAACTGGCAAGCAAAAACAAACACATTGACCACATGGAGCCCTACTCCCTTACCCTCTATTCCACATATGGTAACTTCTCTATTATTGAAATCACACTTTGTTCTAGCAAATGCTACTTCCCTACTTGTATTAACTTCAAAAGTATAGCAAAAGCTGTCTGGGACAAGAGTGGGGGCAGTGGGGAATGCTTGTAGGATTGCTTCTTAAACTGAATAAGGTAGAGATTTTAGTATATTTTATTTCCACTCAATGCAGAACTTGTCTGTTAAAGACCTAAATAATCAGCCTTTCACTTGAGATGTATCTCAGTTCATAAGTTCTTTTGGAATTGAAACAAATGACCTCAAACCAGAAAATTTCTCACGTGCATGTTTGGGATGCTCCCATCCTCTCTCCCCTCCCTGCCACACACACATGCACCTTAAAGAGATCTAAAAATGCATTTCAAGGGCAAAACTGCTGTTCCTTCCATTTTTTCATTCCTTTTTCAGTTTTATCACATGAAACACTGCTGCTGCAATCCTTAATTATCAGGTCAAGCAGCACTTCGGCCTTTGGTAGTGCTCAGCAGCAACTTCCTATTTTTAACACAGTACAAAATGCTAAATGGAAGCTTATAGTTATTTAAATGAAGAATTTTTATTCCTTGGGGAGGTATTTGTAGCAACTGACTTTCCCTATTCTTTTAAAATAATTTTTTTGAAGTATTCATACGAATACAAACCCCTTCTGAAATACAGCTGCCTTAGAGGGACAGCCAGGGCAATTACTACATGAGTTTTGGACTGCTCTTTGTCTGACTTTATTTTCCAATAATAGTAGCTTTGCTTGTAGTGCTTATTTTCCTCATCTTACATGAGTATGCTCATTCAGGATTATCAGAGTTGAATAGAATCTTAAATCCAGTATTGGTCTCAAACAGAAATCAGAATTCAGATGAGAGGATGTCTCCCTTGTATAGCACTTACGTGAAACTTGTGAGACCATGAAACCTTTTTATCCCCACTTGGAGCTCTCAAACCTGGTAGAACACTGATGTGTTTTTATTTTTGGAGGCTAGAGGACACCTGAGCATACATGGATCACTGTGGGTTTGGGTTTTGTGTTTTTATTTCATGTGTTCAAGTTTAATAGCTCAGCTATGAGCATCTTTCCAATACTGGGACACTGATTCTAACTGCCCTAGCTTGGTCTGTGGTATTCAGAGCACTGACCCTTCAGTTCATGTATAGTCTCCTTACTCTTTCGTAGAGAAGCATTTGAACTAGCACTCCATTTTTAATACAGCGAGCACTGCTTAACACTGCATGGCAATATGAAGTGCATGCATCACTATGTCTGTGAACATAGCCTGTTCCAAGCTATTACCAGCTTAAGATGCTCTTTATTTTTCTTTTTTTCATATTGTGATATGTTACAGACATCAGAAACCAGTATGTCAGCAACATTGACCTGACTATTTGTTTCTCAAGCTGAATGGTCACTGGCTTCCTTATTCTTCTGCCCTTCTCTTGCATAAAGGGAGGCAGAAGGAGTACTCCATGCCCTCCAAAAGCTTCTCACACAATGTCTGTGCAAGCAATATACTCAAATGTGGCTGGATCTAGTAAACATTCTAGTCTTACTAGTGATAGTTTTCTAGGCAGAGAGCCTGTCCAAGTTAACAGGCTTAGTTACTAATGTTACTGTCCTTGCACATTTTTCCTCCTGCTTTGTTTTAATAAATGAGTTGAGCACAGTTAGAGACAGTTCTGGTACTGGCCTTGAATCCACCCCATGGTTAGAATTTCCAGTTCAAATACCTCTTAAATAATTTTCTGTCCTTACTCCTTTTGCTGTGCCAGAATGGAGTACACTATCCTGGATATGTAAGTCAATTTCTTGTAAATACATTGGTTATTTTAAGTATTGAAAAATAGATGTTTTTCACAGTTCTGTATCTACTACCAGTATGCATGAGCTTATCTAACATGAAGATTTTCTTGATTGAAGGTACCTGCTCCTATCACGTACCCACTGACCACACCTCAAGTGCCTGTATACGGAATGGTAAGAAATGGGATTGTCTTTGTATTCCTGAAAAACAGAGTTGTCTCCTCCAGTGGGTTTCATGGCTGGCATTATTATGGTGAAATCATTCTGTAACTTATGTGTATTGTTTCAAAAGATCAATAGTGTGTGAAATCTGATGGCTTTGTCATGCTGTGCTTTGGAAAAGGTTGCTCCAAATGCTGTACAGCGTGGTTTTTAAAAGCTCTGACTTTACCACATGTGTGTGTTTATATGCTTGTTTTCTACTACTCACAAAGCAAAAAGATCTACTAGAATTAGTTTGAATTTTATATATCTGGTTTTTGGTGGTTTTGCTTTTTTTCTAACAGGTACCTCCTCAGGTTGGAGCTGCTCCTTTGATGGCACCCCAGACAATGATGTATACACAGCCTGGTCTAAGGCCAACAAACCCTTTTGCACCTGTTTCTGAAACTCAGGTGAAGTGCTTTCCTTAATCTAGAGATCACATTGAAACTTTAGTCTTGGTAAAACCAAGCAAATGCTTCATGAAGGGCTACTAATGTATTTCTGCATTTGAAAGTGAGGGGCTCCTCCATCAAGGGCAACAGCTTTTGCTGGTGAGGAAACCAATTCAGACAGTGAGAGCATGTAAATGCAGGAAGAAAGTAAAAATCAGATTTAGTGGCTAGCTCCTCACTGTGTCAGTATTAAGAAAATGGGAGTGGTGAAGATACCTAGAATTTAGATTTCCTGCGATGTCAACTGGATGCTTGGTTTAATCATGCTGACTAGAGAGCTTCCTGAAGGAAAGGAAGTGAAAAAGGCATGGACAAGATGATGCCAGCTGAAGAAACTGTGTACTCCAAATATGTTCATCTTCATGTTCTTTGGGGATTTTTTTAAAGTCAAAAACCTGTAGTCCTACCTTGCAAGTAAGAAGGCATTTGAATAGATTCATAATTAAACCACTGGGAAACCATGTGAGATGTGACTAATATGTAATCTCTACTTCACAGATACAGTTTATGTAGAGCCACCAAAGCAGCAAGATGTGAGAACAACCAAATACTGGTAAAAAAACAAAAAAGACAAGACTGAATTTTGATCTTTCCATGATGTATTCCTGAACAGGGCAACTGTTTCTTCCCTGTATAATACCATATTAGTTTGAATTGCAATGCTTTCAAGGTTCTTGTTTATAACAGTCACTGCAGTGTGAATGTTTGTTCACTGATCTTTTTTCTTCCTTCAAACTGCTCAGCAGAAAACTGTATTTTACTGAGGTTGACTCAGAAGGTTCAAGCTGGATTATCATCTTCAGAGCTGAGATGAGGGGTATCATGATTGCTCTGCAACCTTACTCATCAGTGGATTACCATAGGAATTTAACAGAGGATATCAAAGCTATTTATTTTCTCCATACAAATTCTGTGGCTGTTGTAACCAAGACACAACACAAATGAAGTTGAGCAATAAAATTTTTATGTGCTCTAATGAATACTCTGATAGAGTAATGCTTGCATTATCATAAGGCCAATATTGTGTGAAATCAGACAGCTTTTTCACATTAGGATAGCTTATAGTAATTTGCGAACTTTATAATGTGAGTTTGAAATGCTGTGAATCAACAAGATATATACATATTACATTATATATATATTAAAAATAATAGATTGCTCCATTGGTATGTGATGGGCTGAAAGCCTGTGATGGAGCAAGGGGAAACAAGTGTGTTACAGAACGGCACGTGCAGCCTCTGACCAGTGACAGTAGCTGCACCTCCATCGAGTATCTTCTCTGCAGATAGTGTCTTTCATAGCTCAAGAAGAGTAGCTTTGGAAGCCAGTGAATGCCAGGTCCCCAGGAGCAGCAAGTGGGAGTGCAGAAGAGGCAAGAGATCCAACTTTTTCTACAAAGCCCATTTGGTCAAAAGAAGCAAACCTTGCAATAGTGCTGCCACTTGTGAACTGGCACCTCTGTGGAGATTACCTGGCTGTAGGGAATAGCTTGTGCTGCTTTTCTGAAATAAGAACCTAGTTGTAAATCGTATAAAAGTAATTATTTTTAAACATGTAAATATGTGCAGACTTTTAGATAATCTTTTCTTTAATGCTGCAGTAATCTTTTTCTTCTGTAGTAATTTCAAGGTTAAAATGCTATGTTAAGAAATCCAGACTCTCTTTGAGAGGAAAATCTTTTAAATCACGTAATTTATGACGTACGCTGTTCATGACGCGTACAGACTTGTGGCATGTCTTTTGTATTTACCAATCTTCCTCCAGAACTGCAGTTGGCTGTGGAAATGCCTTATCTTTTATTTCTGATGTCTGATAAAAAGTGATACCTTTAAAACAACTGAAAAAAAAATCGTTAATCAAGTAAATGGAGTTGGGAGCAACTTTTCTTCCAGAAGTTTTGTGGCAGAGTTGAGTGAAAAGCTCTCCTGTAAAATGACTTCTACTCATGATTAATATTAAAGCTGAGTTTTCAAATAATAGTTTTCTATTGTTGCAATAGATAGACCTCCAAAGCAGCATGTCTTTTAGCTCTGGGGAGTCTATAATTGCAGAACTATCTCTGACTCTCACTATGATAGGCCTGAGGATTTTGTCAAACTGTCTTGCAGAGAACTTTTAAAATACCACATTTTCCTCATATTCCCGCTTCCTAAATGCTTAATTCTGTCTAAAGAGTGCAAAAATAGTATTTTTAACCCTATGGAAATGTTTTTGCCACGTGAAACAACTCAAAAGTGACAAAACAAAAAACCATCCCCCAGCCCTTGCAGTCTGTAACCACTGACTTCCTGGGACATGTAACCCTGCAGAGATTTAAACCAAGGAGTTCCTGAATGTGCTTTGATTTTGGGTTTATTTTAAGAATTTGGACCAGTGTGTAGCAATCTGATGTTCAAGTTTGAATTACAAAGGGCTTCAAGCTTTAATCCACCTCTATTGGGTTGAACAGTTGTACAGTTTTAAGCCAATGAGTTCTTCAGTGCCTATAGTTACCCTCCACGTGATGAGGGAAGAGATGCCATTTAGAGTGGGTCGTTGTGTTGTGTTTGTTTAAGAAATAGTGAATTCCATTGATTTATTCAGCATTGAAAGGTCTCGAGTTCAAATTAGAGCAGTACATGCAGTAATCAATGCCTGGGCATTACTGGCAGAGCTGAGAGTGCTACCAACAGGCAGTTCCTAGCACTGTGAACTGTTGGTTCTCTCTCATACTGGGCTGTGTAAGTAGTAATCCATGATTTTAATGAAATATGCAGATAAATTCCTGGCAAACAGAACTTTATTGCAGAGCTTTCTGACCATCTGGAATGTACACGGCTCAGATTTAGTCCTAGGTGTAGTTTGCACCACTTCTGATTTGCTCTGGATTTTTTTAATGGTTCTTTGGTATGCTTTCTTGTAGCAAAGCTGTCTGATACCAATTTATTTAGTATTATAAAAGGAGAAACAGCCACCAAGTACATCCTAGAAACTTTGTGAGCTACCTTCTTTTTAGTCTCATTTAGAATGTTTGATACATTAAACCATGGAGTTCAGGTTTATCCTCATGAAGACAATACTGAGACGCTTCTCTCTGCACAGAGGTGCACAGGACTGCTTTTACCAACCTCTTCCTCGTGCACGTATTGGAACACATGAAATGGCAGAGTGCTGTGTTTTAAAATCATGTAATCCATCCATTAGAAGTAAAACCCAAGGACTTGGGATGCTGTTGAGGCTTTCATGGCTCAGATCTTGTTCTCCAAAAAAAAGCAAAACACTTTGAAGACAGAGGTTGTTCCACAGCAGTTGTGAATAGTGATGAGTAAAACACTGAAGAGAGATGTACATAAATGTGACTTTCCCTTTTGTTTCCTTCCAACTGGTTTGATCAGAATCCTGTTCTGAATGCTTCAGAGGGCAGATAGTTGACTTAAGATGTTGCTCCGGGATTGTCTGAATAAGGAGGACGACTTGTGAAGTATGCTGTGCTTTGCATTATTGTACTTCAGAGGGTCATTCAAGCCTGACTGTTGGGACTTGCTGCTGCTACAGGGAAGCTGTTGCGTGGGATATACCATAACTTCTGGGGGAATCTGGAGAGGTTGATTGTGTGTCGGACTGGAACGTGTACCTCTTTTTAAGTAACTGGGGTTTTTTAATGTTCTCTAGGAATAGTTTGACTTTGCCTCCAAGAAGTTATTGAATTTTTTAAACATTGGACTCCTGTACTAGAGCAACCTCAGCTCTGTGCACACGGCGGTGGAACGCTCATAGGTGACAATAACACATGGACTTTGGTTTAAGGAGAAAACCACACAGAAACCAACAGAAAACCTTCGTACTCCGAGACTGAATACAGGGTGTATCCACATCTGGGGTTTTGATGTGTGGCGGGGGGGGGGGGGTTACAATTAGAGTAGTACGCACTGTGGATCGGTGCTTAATTTGTACATAAAAAGCAAAACTTCGTTTGGGGTAGTTTGTATCGTAAGGAAAACATCTAAAGGCACTGTGTATCAGTCATTTATTTCCATTTAAAAGATTATATTTTTGAGCAATGGAAACTGTACATGTTATCATTTATACATTACTGATAGCTAGGAGTATAGAAAACCTGTTGCTATTACTCTGAAGATGTATCTTGTCATTGATCTATATACATTACCGCATCGCTACATTATGCAGATCCTCATAACCATTTATTTAAAGAGATTGTAGTAACTGGTACAGTTACAACAGGACTTGTAACGTGGGCTCTTTCGGTGTATCTCAAGCGTGTATCCTTGTGATTAAGTTGAATCCTTCACCAAATGTTTGGCTGGAAATTCTGTCTTGGAGCAATGACAAAATAGGTGCTGGAACAGATTTCCCCCACCCCAACCCACACTTTACATTATTTATTTAATAGGTCTCGTTTTGTATGTTATGTTTTTCCCCATAACAGGTTTGTGCCTTTTATTGGATATTTATTTAAAAGGAGCTACTATAATTTAGGTTGTTTGGGCTTTTTTCCAATGCATTCTTGTACAGCCGTTTCCTTACATGGGTTCCTTCATTTTATAAGAATACAGAATGTGTGGGAAACGCACTCGCCACAAACTGGAAACCATTTGGGGGGGTGGGTTATGTTCTCTGAATTCACTTTTTTAACGCAGACGCCGAAGCACAAGCCTGGCTGTGTGGGTGTTTTAACTGTGGGGCTCTCAATTTGTTAATACACGAACTGTTCGTTTTCTAAAGACCGCTCAGATCCCCTTATTTGATGAAACAAGTTTTGGAAAAAAAATAAACTTTGGCACATGCAGAGCGGGTGTGTGCGAGTGGTGCCTCGGGGGTGCGAGCGGGGCTTAGGGTGTGCGGGCGGTGCCTCGGGTGCGGGCGGGACTTCGGGTGCTCCGGGTTACGGCGCCCTGCGGCTGAGGTGTTGCCGCGCTGCCTTTGCGTTACTGGGGTGTGAGGGGTGTCGGGCTCTGGGGCAGTTTAACGTGACCGGTGTTCCTTCGGGAGGCCGTGGTGCGTTTTACCGGCGCGGGGTGAAGCCGTTTGTGACCACCCCAACGTCACCCGTTCTGTACAGGCGGGGTCGCAGAGCTGCATTCCTGCATTAGAAACGAGTCATTCCAGGCGCTGCTTTCCTGTCCCTTCACCTGCAGCAGCGCTTTGTCTCCAGGCAGGACTGGAGCTGTTTAACGGGCGGCTCCCGCAGTGTCACACCGGCCCAGAGCTGCCCCATAGAGGGGACGCGGCTCCTCCACCGCTGCGGGAGGGCTCGACGGGCAGTGGGACAGCAGCGCCCCGGGTACCGCTGCCCGCGGGCTGCCCTAACCCCATCCCACCGACAGGCGGCGCCTTGGGACGGCCGCCGCTCCGCCTACCGCGCGCTCTGGCGTCATGACGTCACACAACCTGACAGCCAATGGGATCGCGCTCGGCTCTGACGTGTGACGTAGGCCTGGCGTCCCAGGGACAGTCGCGCACGCACTGTGGGTTCCCAAGATGGCGGCGGCCACCAGTAACGAGACGGGGTGCGGCGAGGCGGCGGCGGGCGGGAAGCGCGGCCCCCTCGGCATCCCTGAGGCGGTCTTCGTGGTGAGCGGCGGCTCCGCCGGCCGGGCCGCTCCGAGCGCCGGCGGGGGTGGGAGGAGGAGGGAGAGCCGCGCTCCGGCAGCCGGGCCCTTTCCTTGTGAGGCGGCACCTGCGGCCTGGCTGGCGGGCGGGCGGTGTCCGGGGAAGCGCGGGCGGCGGGGCTGCTCCTCACCGTGCTCCGCTGTGCTGCCGAGCGGCCCCGCCGCGGCTGGGGGATTGCGGCACCTTCCCCTCCTCGCCGCTCCGCTCCCCACAGCGCCCCGGGCTCGTCCCGCGGGCCCGGCCCTGCCCGCGGCCGTTCTGCGGTCTCGGCAGGGGAAGAGTCCCGTTCCGGAGCGCTTCTCTTCCCCAGGCCGGGCAGGGCCCCGAGGGCTGGGGGTGCTTTAGTCCTGAGGGGCTCCGGGTGGGGAGTGGCGTTATTTGTGTTCCCTCTTCACGGCAGACTCCAGTCCTGGTTTTAAGCAGTATCATGTCAGCTCACTATCGAGCTCACGTGCCAGCGGAGAGCGTGTTATGAATGAACCCTCCCATCACACACACTGAGCCGCGGTTTCTCGCAGCGGCTCCTCCCGCACAGAGCTCATTCTGTTTCATCTCCAGCAATGCCGCACGGCACTGCCAGCCCCTTTACCTGCGTCTTCCCCTCATAATCTAGTTCTTGACTGGGGCTGAATCAGTCTCTGGCAGTGACTGCGGTGCCAGGCTGGTTTCCTGCAAGCCAGCAAATGTGTGTTTTTGGAGAACAGGCTGAACCCGTTTATCTGACTTTAAAAGGCGATTTCCCAAGCGTTTAATAAATCTGTTGACTGGTTGGAAGGAAGAGCTCATCGACGGCACAGTGACATGGTGTGAAAGGTATCTGTTCACTCTCTGTTGTGGGCTGGCTCTGATTGCTCTCCCTTGATTGCTGCTTTATCTGACTTGATCAATAAGTATCGATCACGCTGGCTGTACCTGGGTTGCCTTTGTGTCATCTTGGAACGCCTGACATCTGCCCTGAACACTTCAGTCATTGTGCTGCTTTGTGCTGAGATTTATTAGTGAGATAAACCTGCATGTCTCAGATCTGTGCTGACATCTTCACCAGAGCTGTTTGAACTGGTCAGCTGTGACTGTTCTTGCAGAGGTGAATGAATTTGACTTGCATTTTGGTATTTCTAGGTGTAGTACCCATGTTCCTCTGTATCTTCCCAGGGAGTAGGTCCTGAACAAATAGGTACAGTGCCCTGGAATTCAGTGCTTCCAGATCCTGCTTTTTCTTTAAGGTTCTTTAACAGTTCTTGGGGTCTGGCAAATCTTACTGGGGTGTGTTACTGTTGCTGCCTGTGCCCAGCTTCCTTCCACGCTTATGAGAGACTAGTATAAATGCAGGTGAAAGGGAATGGCCATGGCTGCAGCTGCACTGCGAGACCTCAGTCCTTGTGACAGAGGAGAACTTGTGGTTTGTGCTGGCCCTCAGTGGAGGTGGCCACTGGTAGGGGACAGTAGATAACCACAGACCTTTGAGGGGGGCTGTCACATCCCTTGTTTTCATGCTGGCAGCTGTGGGTGCAGCTCCTGTTTGGTTCCACATTGTTCCCTTTTGATGCTTGTGTCTGAAGTATCTCATGTTCCGTACGATGTGTCTTGGGATTGTTCTGTGCTTCTGTTCACTTCTTCTTAACCTTGCATCGGGATCTGAAACCCACTGAAGTTTCCTAATTCTCAGTTTTGAGAGGTGCTGATATCAAATACTGATGTGTCTGCAGAAGACATCCTCAGTCATGATCTTAGAGTGCTTGGGTGTAAATGTTAAGAGAGACTTTCTTTTATTCAGAGGAAGCATACACTAAGAAGTTGTTAATGGTATTCTGCTCTACAAAGTGAAAATACCAGGGTCTTGAGAGTGGTTTCATTACAGGCTTCTTCTTCAGACAGTAGGTTTCTGTTTTGTTGTATGCTGCCATGATAAAAACTTGCTGATCACTTGCTTGATGTTTC